AGCTTCATTGAACAAGCTGAGGTTAGAAGCTGATTGGTTTCTATGCAGAGAGGAGTCTGATTTTGGACTCTCCAGCTTTAGTAAATAAACCCCACCTTGTCATACCCTTCTAGCTGGGAGAGTTGGTTGGCCGAATTAGATTTTTCTAGGCCAGTCCTCCCCCCCTTCCCACAGAGGGAAACCAGCATTAAGGGTAACGGTGTAATTCTGCCTCCTGCTTATGCAAAGTGCATGTATGTACAACAAACTTTTGTTAGAAATATTGTCCAATAGGCGGATTATGGGGAAGGTTGGTGGCCTCTAAATGTCTGCAGTTACCTTCACAATATGGAAGAAAAGGTCCCATTACTAAACAAATCGTAATTTAAAAAAAAAGGAAAAAGAAAACCAACTCAACTAATAGATACAAATTCTGCAAAGAACAACTATACCCAATTTCTTTTACAATGGAAACCAGTAGAGATCAGTAGGGTGACTGCAGCATATTAAATACTAAAGAAAAAGACAAGAAAAAAAAAGCACTGTGCCATATGGACAAATAGAAAAATAAACTCACAAATGAGCAGCTGTTGTCCTACACTTGTTCGAAAAAGCAGAATGACCAAAAAATGTTCAAGCGTATCTAATTCCAAAAATAATAATGAAATGTGCTAGTTCTTAGATGTGACGGCCGCGGTAATTTTTTTTTTTTTTCATGTTATTATTTTCACCCGGAGATCCTGCCAGTAACATACTTCCTATTCTAGGGTATCAACACTCACTGTACCTATGGAGGAGCAGCGTTGCACTCTTGGTTTTGACTACCTCCCTCACTTCTCATTTCCATGCGCTAGGAGGAGTTCTATATTTCCAAAAAGCAAAACTAAGAAAACTGTTAATGTTGTTTCAGATTTCAGGTCAGAGCACAGGAAGTTACAAGAACACTAGATTCCTGGCAGGATCAACGGGTATTTACAAAAAAAAATGTTCTAAGCCTGAAAAACAAATGCAGCACACCATATCCAAGGACACATGCCCCCTTTTCAGCCACCTTCTCACATCAATAAAGCAGATACTATTTATAATGTTTCCCAGACAATACCCACAGTGCTTTATTTTCTTTTATCAAACAGGGAACTCATTGGTCCGGATAAGAAGACTTGGAAATCTGGTTTACAAAGGATATTTTTGTACAGAGTGTGAAAAGGGGCCATGTCTTCACCCGCTGCCGGGCCGGAGCTCCGAGCCGCTAAGTCCCGCCCACTGCGGCCACGTCGCTCCAGAGAAGATGGCCCCGACATCGTGGTCCCGGCCTGTGACGAGGCGGCACCCTCCTGGGCCCGCCGAGATACTGTAGAGCCCGATCCTCTTCCCCTTGGGGACGTGGACACAGTCCCCCCCGAAGGCCGCCCGCCATTCCTCCCACGCCGGGCCCCCACCGCTGCAGGCCCAAAGCCTGCAGGGCCAGCCGCATGGTCCTGAAGCAGAGAGGTGAGTTGGCTGGGGAGCGGGTGGTATTAGATGTGCTCCTGCCAGGGGTCCGCCAGCGACGAGGATTCCTCCCAGCCCTCCCCGGAGAAGCAGGCCGACGCTTCACCGGCGGAGCTGGAGGGTCCCCTAAGGGGCTCCCAGAACGGCGCAAACTCCGAGCTGTCACTTCTGGGCTAAAGCGCACCGGAGGCACAGACCGCCGAGCACGTGTGCGCCCAGTAGAAGGGCCTGGTGACGCGGGCCTGGGGCCTTGCAGCATGTCGGACAGCCTCTCCCTTAACCACCCTGAGCCATTGGCTTCAGCTGCCGCCCGCAATTGGGATAGCATCCCGTCTAAGTCACTCATGGCCTAGTATTTTCCGCCGCAGGTACCAGCAAAAAAGAAGAAGAAACCACCTCCGTGATGGCACAAGCTCCGACTGACTCCGACAAGACACAACCCCCCAATTCAAAACCTGCAAGACCACCCACAATGCTGCCTACACCAATCAAGTAAGTAACCACCCCCCCCATCCCCTTTTCCTTGCCTATACTCCACCCAAATTACACTCTCTGCCTCGTCTGCACGCCCCAGTCATGCTGGCCCTCCCTTATACTTCGCTCAGTCCAGGCCCTGCCTGAGTGTGAAAACGTATGCATATTATTTGATATCCTTTGAAGATGATGAGATGAGTTTATTTTTTTTTGGGCGCAGTCTGTCAGTCAGTTTATAAGAGTTCTCTGAGCAGGCTTTTGGTTTTGGAATTTAAAGAATGTTATAGATCACTTTCCTATATTGGCGCAACCTAATAAATCTTCCCTCTGGCCAAACACTGCCAAGCAGAAAAGCAGGGGCATTCTAAGGACACTATCATGGCAGCCAGAACAGATCAAAAATATAGATTTCCTAAAAACCTGAAGTGCAAACTCCACCAAAGTAGGCCATGTGTAAAAGAGACTTAAAGGAACTCTAAAAAGTTCTATTCAAGTATGTATACTTAATTGCACAAAGTCCCTTCTATTGCTCTACACTTCCTTCAAACTCCTTTTTTGCTTCTGTGATCTGACTTCCTGTTAGAGGGTGGCTACGTTCGTTCTCCATGGTCCCACTGTGTGTAGGAATGTAGCCACCCTCTACTGCTCACTCCAGAGATGGACTATGGGATGTGTAGTGTGCATAAAGCAATGTACATGACTGACATGTACTGATCACACCAAACAAAGTGAGAGGGAAAAGGAGAAGTTTGGAAACAGACACAGGACATTACAAGGAAGCAGAAAAAAAGTAAGAAATAATTTCATGAAAAAAAAAAGATTGCGGAGCCGTTAACCACTTCTGTGCCGCCCTATAGCAGAAATACGGCTACAGGGCAGCACAAAATCATATATATATATATATATATATACACACATACACATATATATAGATAGATAGATATACACATGCGTGATTTTGCAGTTCTGGGTAATGGTGTCGCCATTCGCGGCCTCAGCTGTCAATCACCAGGTCCCGGATGGTGATTCCCCACCGGCACCCGGTGATCGCCCAGTATCTCCGATGGGGGAGTGAGACCTGTCAATCTCTCGCCTGTCAGCTCCAGCACACAGCTTTGTATGGCTCTGCATAGCACAGCCATACAAAGCAGTGTGCTTACAGTAAAACACACACAGCCCACATAGTTAAACAGCACACAGTTAACCCTTTGATCACCCCAGATGTTAACCCCTTCCTTCCCAGTACCATTAGTACAGTGTCAGTACTTTTTATTAGCACTGATCACTGTATTAGTGTCACTGGAGATGTCAGTGACACCAAGTCAGTTCCCCCCCAGTGGCAGAATGCCCGCCGCAGTCCCTCTATAAGTCACTGATCGCCGCCATTACTAATAAAAAAAAAAAAAATTCAAGTATATATACCGCCATTTGTAGACGCTATAACTTTCATGTAAACCAATTCATTTACATGTATTGGGATTTTCTTTTAGCAAAGACGTATCAGAATACATTTTGACCTAAATTTATGATGAGATTTGATTTTTTTAATTTTCTTACTGGACATGTTTAATAGCAAAAAGTAAAAAATATAGTTTTTTTTTCTCAAAATTTACGTTTTTTTTTTTTTTGTTTATAGAGCAAAAAATAAAAAAGACACAGGTGATCAAATACCACCAAAATAAAGCTCTATTTATGGGAAAAAAAGGACATAAATTTAATTTGGGTGCAGTGTTGCATGACTGTGCAATTGTCAATTAAAGTAACATAGCGCCGTATCGCAAAAAATGGCCTGGTCAAGAAGAGCAAGTGGTTAAAAATGTATGTTCTCTAGCCACAACATAAAGCAATAAGCCTAAACTGCTATTTCCCTGATATTCCTTTAGATTAGGTTTTTTTTTTTTTTATTGGGGTCACACCCACTGGTCTCCCCTTCTCTGTGCCTCTATCCAGTGCTGATCCCATGGAGGCATCTATGCACCTGCATGCACGGTGAACCCAGGATTGAAGGACAGTCAGAGCATACCTGTGCCTGGGGGGACGGAGAAATGGGCATACTCTGCTCATCCATCCTCAAGTCAGCTGGTAGCAAAGCGAGGAGATGTGCATTATAACCAAGCATGATGGGACATGTAGTCCTGAAAGGTGGGTATCATGGACCCAGAAGCACGCTCCACAGGCTGGAAGCTTATATGCAGCAAACCAAGGAGGGATGCATCCAATATCAGTCACTGGATTTTTATGATAAGTAAATTTTTTTCAAAAAGAACGATGGATAACCGATTGATGTATATTGTGTAAAAATAGGTGAGCCTTTATAACCATTTTAAGTAGTAAATGTGTATGGATGATTTTTGGAGGATATCATCTAGTGTCACTTTAAGCACAAATAAAAAGTGATTGATCAGCAGATTGCAGCTAATGACCAGCAGGGAGAAGCATGCACATTTAAAGGGATACCTGAAATGTGTTCTTTCATATAATACTCTGGTTCTTGAAAAAAAAGACAACAGAAAAGGTGCTAAGTTTACAGGAGCCTGCTGGCCCTTCTCACCAAACGCTCAGCAAAGATCAGCAGACAACAGAATGACGGTTGTTGAACAGCACCATGTAACTTCATTAGAAAAACAGCATTTTGCAAATTTATAAATCTTATTAAATCCTACTCTGTGCTCCAACTCTGTGCTCCTATCAATCATTCCTCAGTCACACTGAAGCATTCTGAAGTGCATTTTCAGAAAAGCTTGAATGCTAGACACCAGATTTCTATTTTATTTTATTGTTTCCTTTCACAACGTTCAGTGGCTCAGCACTGAAAAATGTAAAGAAGCTTCTTTGGGCAGGATTGGGTATTTTTAATTTCCAATCGAAGCACCTAAAAAAATGAATGTAATGCACAATTTCACCCCTAACAACTTTCTTCTCTTCCTAGTATCTAGTTTTCCATTGGCTAAAACAAAAACGCTCAATCCTGAAAACAGTGTGCAACAATGCGAAAAAAAAAACCCTGCTCCACATTCACATGAAAATGCTCTCGCTCAAGTGTGAATCCAAGCCAGGGCGGACTGACAACTCATGGGGCCCCCCGGGCAATAGGGGATCATGAGGCCCTGTGTCCTTGCCCACACTCAAAGCACACCCAAAAAAGCCTATAAAAAAGGTACCAGGGGCATTTAATGGGGCCCCCTAAAGACCCCGGGCCCTCGGGCAGTGCCCGAGTGCTCGAATGGTCAGTCCGCCCCTGATCCAAGCTAAACCTTAAAAGAGGCTCATGCGTGCAGGATTCCTTGTATCAGATTCACCGATGTCTCCTCTAGGTGTTTATCTTTCTCCCGCATGTTGGTAGGCAATCGAACACAAAACAGAGCAGCATGGCTTTCTGTGCTTAATCACAACAGCTTAGCAACTCATCAAACATGCTGTAATCTGTACACACAGACAGTAAATCAGTACTCCGGTCATAAAGGGGGTGTACAGCTTTAGAACATTTCAGGATGCTGAAAGGGAGAAGTTTAGACTGAAGACTATTGATGACAACAAATTTGCTCCAGTAGTATTTTTGTATTTTATACATCTTAACCCTTTGAGGACCATAAGATTACGGAACGCCAAAAGAATCAATTTTTTTGTTTTTAAAGTTCGTACACTTCAGTTGCTGTAACTAAGCCATTTCATGAAATAATTGGCAAAAAGCTAGATCCATTTGTTGTTTGTTGATAAGAACTAATATTTTGACTCAAACCAAAAAAAAAAAAAAAAAAAGGTTTTAAGTTCTTAATCAGATGATACACACAATTAAAAACATGGGACAAATACGTCCCTTGGTCCTCAAAGGGTTAACATTAATTACATTTATATGCATCCCTCCCTTTTAGATTGTAAGCTCCAAGGATCAGGGTTCTCCTGTCCCTCTTGTATTGAACTGTATTGTTGCTGTATTGTCTCCCATTATAATGTAAAGTGCTGAGCAAACTGTTGGCGCCATATAAATCCTGTATAATAATAATAATATGCATGATTCCAATTTGTGAAAATTACAATTCATATCTATTAGTTTTTCCACTGCTGGTTCAGGTCAGTCCGAGGGGCAACTCATGGACTGACAACTCATGGGGCCCCTGTGCCCCCAGGCAATAGGAACTCATGGGGGCCCTGTGTCCTCGCCAGTCACACTCAAACCACACCCAAAAAAGCCTATGAAAGGTACCATCCAGGGACATCTCATGGGGCCCCCTACTGACCCTGGGCCCCATCGGGCAGTGCCCAAGTGTCTAAATGGTCAGTACAGGAGATGACCAGCCTCTGGTCACAGTACAGTCCCCTACACCTATTCAGTCCCTTTTAACCCCTTGTCTGCGGACAAGATACATTTACAAATGTCCTGGTATTCTAGGGTTAAAACAAACACAGGGATGTTGGATGCTGCAGCAGCTGTAAGCATGGTATTGATTGATACAAGCGACTGCCACTTTCAGATAAAATCGATCCAGGCAGCTATTTTAAAAAGCTCCAAAAGGTGCTGCCCCCTTCTGGGATCTGTCATGCCATCACCATGTTCTTCTGGACGGCCCCGGCTGGAACTGGGGTAAAATACTGTATTAAAAAAAAAACTCCACGGAAGTAATTCAAAATACATCTAGAGCAGGAAGGTCCCGCTGTAGAAGCTCAGAAACAACCATTGCCCAATCTCATCATGACTAATAAACCCGAGAATTGACAAGTATCACATTGCTTCCAGGTTCAGGGAGGTCAATACCAGGTTACTGAAGCAGCTAATCAAGCAAAATATGTTCTTGATTAGCTGCAGTGGAGGATAGGGGAGACATTGGGGGTCTAATGAATCCCTTATGTCTCCATACCTGTCAACTTCCCATGCTAATACACATATATATCTTTTTTTGGCTCAGACAATAGGTGCAGGTGCTCCCCACTTCCCAATCACCCCCTATCTCTGCCCTCTACTCACCTCTGAGCACTGCCCCCCTTGGTTCCACCCCCTACCCACCTCTCAGTATTGACCCTTTTAAAGACTACAGAACCAAGTATAATTTTGTGTTGCTAAATCATTTGCATGGAATTTGTAAATGATAACAAAAATGGCAGTGAAATAGATCCCCTGCAACAAGCAACAATACCCCCCCCCCCCAGCAGCAAAAGATTCCGCCCAGCAATAACAGACACCCCACAACAAAATACCCCCCCAGAAACAAAAGACCCCCTGACAGCAACAATACATCTCCCAGCAATCAGAACAATAGACCCCTCCCTCAACAGTAGATCTCTTTTAGAAACAATAGACCGCTCAGTAACATAGACCTCCACAACAACAGTAGTCCCCCCCCCCCCCAGTGACATTTGATCTCACAGCAGCCAGCGACAATATACCCTCTAGCACACCCCAGTACCTTTTGCCATCATACACTTTCAGTGCTGGAGGTGCAGAAACTGAGTTCCCAGTAAAAAAAAGCCATATAAAATTTTTTTTTTTTTAATTTATTATTATTTTTTTTAAATTTAAAAAGTACCCCCTCACCCCCATATTCACCTTAATGCAAATTTACGTGCAAATTTGCCCACATGTGTGAGGTATTGCCACAATTGAAGCCTAGGGCTCTCTATGGCCATGATGTACAAGTAAGGCAAATTTCTTTACTGCAACCGCGGTCAGTGTTGATGGGGGAATCCCTCCTGCAGAGCTACCGTGGGGTGCGGAGAGCCGTCCCTGCTGGAAGAACACAGCGATTATTGCTAGCGGCTATAGCCTCTGGCAATAATCGCATCTTCAAAATCCAACATGCTGGTTGTTCCCAATTTGATCGATAGAAGGAATTATTTGAATCTCGGCCGATCCCTACTAAACAGGGTGAGATTTGAACCATGTGTAGCTGGCTTAATTCTAACATGACAACCTGTAAAAGGTTTTTAAAGCTTCGCCAATAGACAATTTTGCGTACCTTAGTTTTTCACAATTTTAAGGGCGCAAGCAATTTTAAGGCTTGACGTGTTTGGCATCCATTTACAAGACGCAACCCCCCCCCCCCCCCCCCCACTCCTTTTTTATTTTATCAAAATTTGATATTTTGTTTATTTTAGTGTATTTTTCCTGAAAATATGCATATGTGAAACAGTTGCACAAATATCGTGCTACATAAAAAAATTATTGAAACTACCATCATTTTCTTCTACATGGCCTCTGCTTTCAGAAAATATATAATTGTTTGGGGGTTTAGGATATTTTCCAGTGCAAAAAAAAAAAATGGCCCTGGTAGACAAGTGATTATGTTTGATTAGGGACTGTCATGGATAAATGATGTGTATTAAAAAGCAGAGATGCATTCACTGTCCATGACCTCACTGCAGAGATTAGGCTACAATATCAACAAGGGTTCCTAGAAAGAGACAGCAGCCGGTGTTTATTCTGCTGGGCCTCATATGCAAGTGACAAAAATTCTAACACATGTTCTAAGGGGAGACAAGACGCCCTATTGTAAGGGAAGCTTCCCTGCTATTTTTGTTAGGGAACTTGTTTTATTATGTTTGTGTTGTCCACACAGGAGCCAGACCGAGATTTCACGGCCTGCTGGTTACCCAGAACAACGCTCCCCCACTAGGCCAGCATGTGCTGACACCACAGATTGGGCCTCATTAAGCAGCATTTGTCACCAGGACACCAAACCTCTTCCTCTGCCCACTGTACTAGATATCGGATTATTGGGCTGCCTGAGCCATTATTTATGATGATGGAAACTGAGTGAACTGATATAACTTGGTTAAAACAATATGTTCATATATTTTTCAGATACAATGCCTTCTCATAGTACTTTAGACTGAGGTGGGATTTCTATTTCCTATTGTATCTCCACCCCCCACCCCGAAGAACTTAAAGTAGAACTGTACGCAAAAACCTCCCCCCCCCCCCCAATTTGGATAGAGTAATTACAATCCCGGTCAGTTTAATTTAAATTTTTACCATCTGTGTCCCATCAGGGAGATTTCACTTCCTGTCCCATAGCCAATAACAGGAAGTGGGAGGAAATCCCCCCAAAGTGAAGGAATCCCTGGTTGTCACTAGGATCAGCAGAACTAGTGTCCCCATTGGTAGATTTGCCCTGTTCTGGGGACAACCCAAAATTTTGGATTTTCTTTCACTTTCTATGATAATGGTAAACAGGACAGGTGTGGATATTCCTAATAGAGTGGGGAAGGGCTACAATCCATTCTGGTTTTTATTGCTATCTAGGGTCCTGTCCACAAATTTTTTTTCTTACTTCCTGTGCGAAATACGTTTTACCTGGAAGTGTTTGAAAACTACCAACATTAATTTCTAGGCACTAATGTCGATTGTATTGCCCCATAACTAAGGAGTGCTCAATTGATCCTTCGGTGTCAGGGGTAGCCTCAATGACCAATAGGTACAACTGGAGATTTTCCAAGATGCTGGATGGATTAGAATAAATGGGCTCATAAGGTTTTCAGCTCACAAAGCACATCTGCTAAACAAGCTGCTGATCAGGCCTTTGCTTTTAATTCACACTGGAAAAAATACCATTGTAGGTCCAGTTCACATCTGGCCTGTTCACATTGATGCTAGTCAAGCCCTGATGAAGGGAGGCACTTCGATCCCCTGAAACGTATTGGATAATTCTCGAATTATACCCCTGACCTTTAACGGAATAAAGTTGTATTTGGAACTCTTAGCAATGGTGTGACGCTTCAATGTCAACTCTTCTTACTCAACAAAAACAGGACGCCTCATATTTAGGGGCCCCCGAAGGTGAAGATCCACATGTAAAATGTCTAATCTAAGAAGTCTAAGATTCCAAAATGTTTTAATATTAGCATTTGCTCATAACAAGACAACATGGAACAGCCATCGACGTCTCAGACACTCCCACGTTCATCATGCTGTAACTTGACTCAATAGGGTGCTTTTAGTACTTGTATGTATAGAAATACAGAGCAGTATTGGCGGAAGCAGCAGAGCCTCTTGGAATGCAGCCTCCTAATAAATATACTAAATAGCGGACATTTGCGGTAAATGCTAAAACCACCCCTAGTAGACCTCTGCAATTAAGCCTTGTTCAGGTTAAACACATTGGATGGGCTTTTTTGAAAAATTTAGTTGGATTGTGCGACATCTTAGGAGTGCAGCTGTGTATTCTCTAAAAGTACCTTGCTAAATCCACTTACAGCATTTAAAAGCCCTGTTGAAGGAGTGTTTGAGCCACAAATGCGTTGGGTGTTCCATGTTGTCTTAATATGGGCAAACACTAAAAT